CCTCTTTTCTTTCATGTCCCCCTGTCTTCATGTCTGGTCATCTCATCCCTTTCTTCGTTTGCGCGCACATTGGTCCCGACCTTAGTGTGTACGTGTACTTTACATACTTTTGAACACAGGCTTCAGGTCGCCCAGGTCTTTACAATGAGGTGGGGTTCATCGGTTGTCCCTGTGCACTTGGTTTCTTTTGTTCATTGCAACCACACACCTTTTTGTCCCGTCTTGTCCTCCTTCTCATGCCTTCATCCTTTTGTCTTTGCCGCGTGCACATTTACACAACAGTCCTAGCCTTAGTTCTTTTTGCCTCCCCTCGGGGAGGCGTGTGTGTGTGTGTGTGCCCCTTGTAGTCACAGGGATTCTTTTGAATTGTTTTTCTTTTACATCAGCAGGGGGTAGCGGCAGATCACTTGGGACCGCTACCAACGAAGACGCCCATTTGATCTGGTGCGTACCTGCTTAATTTTAAGATTTGCTGAGTTGAGCTTGAGATTCTGCAGACATGCACGACACGCCGTCACTTCGACCTGATCGTCGTTCTCGATCTTGCGCTTTTGACCCCACTTCCTCTTGCAGACCCCCAGGATCCGATGGTTTCTTACTGGTCTTCTTAGGAAATGGTACCCTAGGCCGGCGTGTGGTACCGCTGTCAAGTCAGTACGCATATCCATAAGTGTGTGTTTGGGGTAGAGGCCGTCCTTTCCAACTGAAGAACCTGTGAAGAGCACGGGCTGTCATTCCCGTCCGGTGTTGGAGCCACCTTCGTTGAGAAAGGTCAAAACATCGCCATTTTGGGCAATGGCGCATTTGCTGTGGAGAATGCAAGGGACCTAGGGTGAGTGAAGGGTGGGATTATTCCATAAACTCTTGTCTAATTAGTGACCAGTGCCAGTGGCATGTCTATCATGCTTGCTTGGTTTAGAGACACTAGCTTAGGTATGGATTTTCATACCATACCAGATGCGAGACATTGTGCTAATTCATTAGTGTGGAGATGTTCAATATCTGCAATTTTTTTCAGCCTTGGTGATTGGTTTTGATGACTTAGGCAGGGTACGGTTTAGGCAGAAGCATTGATCAGCTTGCTCAGCTCACGCTGCCTGCATTTATCCTATCGAAACTGTCAAGGCATTTACTACCAACCACGCAAACGAAAGAACCGTTGATATTGACCAGCGAGTAAGCTACAGCGTATAAGTATGTAATATATGTTATATGACTCATTTAATTGTGTAAAGAGCGGTCGTGAATCTCAGGAATTGGGCTAAAAAACCTGCAAAAACGATAGGCTCCTCTCAACAGCGATAACCCCATTTCCGCAGCTTTTGGATATGTTCAGCTATGTTGACATTGTGGCTAAAACCTGCATAATTAAGCGATAGGCCCCACTCAAAAGTTTTAACCTTGCTGAATCACGTCCTTTGCTTGACAGTACGTTTTGGCAGATGCTCATAATATGCCAACGAAGGCCCGCACCTGCGTGGAGCACGCAGCAAATAAGGTGGGAGTGTGTTTTGCTTGTTGCGGCCACAGAAGTGTAGAGCATTGTGGAGCAGCTCAAGGACAAAAAACATCAGGGCAAGCTTAACCTCACAGAGGCACGCATCAGAAGCATGGGAATCACGTGGGTCAGCACTTTTTTCTTTGCAGCGTCTCATTTGGCTCAAGTGAAACGCTTGGAATTCTTGTGGCGGGCCTTAGGCTGCACAAGGACCTGAAATTTGGCAGACACCTGAAAGAATGTTGTATGTTATAGAATGTTATGGACTTTGCTGTTGCTTTGCCAAAGTGGCTTAGGAGGTTCCTAGGTTTGGCTACGGCTAGTGACTGAGTGAGTGACTGTCATACGATCATTCTGGTGTTTTCCGGCTGCTTTGCCTTGAATCTGAAATCATGCGTCATCATGTTCACATCAAATCTAGATCTGCCTACAATCTAACCAAGTGCACCGACAAAATGCGTCAATGCATTTTCCGTTTCAAAGCGCTAATTCCCCAAGTCTCGTGCAGTGCCGCACTGAGAGGATCGAATGGAGCTGCGTGTAGAGTCTGCCGATGGCCATACCTTGCCTAAGAATTGCAGCTGTTCTCAAAGGGTGTGGTGAGGGCACTCGCCATGACCAATCTTGAATGGCCTTGTTGCCCCCGGTCGCGCATGGAATAAGACAATATGTTACAAAGATATGCCATGCCATGACATGATGTACCCCGATTTGACCCAACACCAGCACTTGCCCTTGCGTACAGACCATGTTTTGATGTATTTGGCAGGGGTGCATGGAGGTGTTGATGACATACAGTAGATGCCCGAGGCTTCATTGGCGTTCGTGTGGGAGATGTTCTGAAGCAAGGGAGGCAGGAAGGGGAGAGAGAAAGAGAGAGAGGGAGAGAGCGAGAGCGCGAATCACAGGATGAGACAAAACCATCGAGGCTGATCCATACAAGGCACCAGTTGGGTGGGCAAGAACGCTTGCTCAGACTCCTGGTCAGGTACGAGCCGCAACGCTGCTACAACTTTCCACAATTGGATCGTAGACGGAATGCCAAAGTTGACATTTATCAGCACGTCTTGGGCTAAGAGCAGTTGGTGCGGACTGAACAAAAAAGTTTGAGTGCGATTCCGGTCTATATTGCATTTGAATGCATTTGATTGGAGGCCTTTTGTTGCTAAGAGCCTGCAGCGGCGGGTCCAAGTTTGGGGCCAAGGTTGGTACCTGCATGGTGGCAGTGGATCCGGACACCAAAGCCGTACACGAGCCTTGGATTTCTCATGCAATTATATAGGTTTTTCAGTGCGGAACGGACGTTCTTGGCGTCGTCTTGTGAAGCTTGAAGGATGTTGTTGTTTTGGCCGAGGGGCCGAGGGGATTTTGCAACCCTAGAAGACTAGAATAGAATCGGTCAAGAATGGCATGAACTAGGACCGAAATCAGGGGGCTGTGACCGTTTCATTGATATCATTGTGCCAAAAAGCCGTCAATCATTAGTTTGTTCACTGGGACAGAGGCCGAAGGTCTCCCAAGTCGTGATCCAAGCAGGTCGTGACGAATTCTCAGTCAAAACCGGTTTTTGCCGATTCCAGACTCCAGACATCTCCAGACTCCAGATGTCCAGTTTCAGATCGCCCAAGTTCCAGGAAGTCGCTGTGAGCAGCTTGGACCCAGCGATGCCTGGTGGACGGATTCGCATCAATGTCCAGGCGAGATTTGCGCATATCGTGTCCTCTTCAATCAACATGACATCCACAAGTCATCCACAAGTCCTTGTCTCCATTCTAGACACGCAGAGATTCATGAGCATGTTCAAACTCCATGGTCCATGCTAGCTGAAGAGTGGGTATCCTGATGTGTCCTGCTCCGACTACGCAGATGCAAGATCTTATCAGCATCACTAGGGCATGTTGAGAATTGAATGTTGTTGTTTGATCTTCTGTTTGCTCCACACCTTTGTCTCATCTCCCTGTGTGCATGTGCACGACACCTGCAAGATCATTCCCATGCGACAGGCCATGTCAGAAGAAAACAAGCAGCAGCGAGAGCAACGGACCAAGGTGGGCTTTGTAGACAGAAGAGTCTTTGGGTGTCCCGAACTTTCCTTTGTCTCAACTCTCGCGAGTTGGCACGTGCAATTTTACACCTCGGGTCAAAGCACTTCGACATTTGATGTATGTATGTATGTATGTATGTATGTATGTATGTATGTATGTATGT